CCCCAAAACCCCAAAACCCCAAAACCCCAAAACCCCTTCAAGCCAATACTTCTAAGGTATATTAATTTTATCCTATCCAGTGCAAGAAATGACTTCATCGTCTGATGCAAGGACTGAGGAGTTTCTCTTAGTGAATTTGCCTTCATACTTACTTAGATATTGCTTCCGGTTGTGTACTTTTATCTGGACTCCAATCGTTTTAGTCACATCACCTTCTAAGATATTTATGAGTAATGCTCAAAATAAATTTACCTTTGGAAATCTCGAAATATTCGATTTTTCTCCTGAAATTTATTTTATTTTTAGTCCTCTTTGGAGATTTATTCGGTGTTGGGATTTTATCATCAGTCTCTTTAGGGTTTAAGATCAGAACAGGGTGGTGACCTTTATATTTCCTTGGTTTCCTTTCAGTGACCTGTGTACTTGGACGGAGTAAATTAGATCCAGTGGATCCAAGACCTCTGATAAATAGATTCTTGATAACCGTATCTCTAAAGAAAATGTAGTTAGCCCAAATTTTTACTCTTTATTCTGTCCTCTTGCTTTCCTGATACTGTTTAACAAACTAGTCTTGTTAGTGATTGAAAGAGGAATATTCATTCTCCTTTTATCAAATCTGTTTATAAATGCGACCTTGTTTAAGTTATCCTGGTTCTTTCTGTATTTGAAATCGGAATCGCTAAGATTAATAATTCTTCTCCTCAGTTTTACAGGTCTATTTAGACATTTTTGGAGTCTGATAGAACGAGTTCTAAATATAACTTTATCTACTAATACTATTAAATTCTTTCTTGGGCCTCTTAGATGTTGTCTTTTAGCATCTCTAAATATCAGATTTTTACGATTACGTTGTGGGTCTTTTGTTGGTACAACATGTCCGCAAGCGTTCTTTAGGTGGGACAGGTGTGTTTATTTCAAAATTTGGTTTGATTCCAAGTTTGCTTCCCTCTTCTTGTTGCTGAGATGCCTCTGCCAACTTCTCCACCTGTAGAGGAGGGATTGAGCAATTGTACTTTCTAAGATACGTTTTTAGCTTAAATTTTGGGTTATTTATTCTGCTTTGCAAATTGAGATTCCTTCTTGTCCTGAACCTCTTGCTAAAATTTTAGGCGAAAGCTTACTTGGTACTCTTCTGAAGTGATGATGGCATTACTGTTATTTATCCCGAATCGTTACTAAATTTTATAGATCATCGGTACCTTTGGGAGTATGCGTTATAAAATTTTCATTTCAGTGATCGTCTCAATTCTGGTCTACCGAGTTTGATGGGTTGAAGTTTTTGTAAACTCACGGATACCCAAAGAGAGAAGCTGGACTCAAAGCTGGGGCTTTCTCTAGCAATTAGGCACCAATATGTTACCTTTCTTGTCACTCCAGCCTCTGAAGCTGGCTATATAACTATTTGATATAGGAAACATTATTATTTTTACCTTATTCAATATATTTAAGAAATATTGGGGTTTTGGGGTTTTGGGGTTTTGGGGTTTTGGGGTTTTGGGG